GCAGTTGGTCGTGGACTTGTCTAGGCCTTATATGGTCGAGGAGGCCAAACTGACCAAGGCAGTGAAACAAGAAAGAGGACGAGTTGGACGATTTGCAGGTTCTCACAGGTTGCTTTTTTGCAGGTTCTCACAGGTTGTGCTAATTGTCCAGCTTTGGAACTCTGCCACCTTGAACCTGCACAGGATACAGATTCGCGTGGAGCAACATCCACGCTTCCATCTGGAGAGAGCATCGAGGATGCCCCTGTCATGACTCCATCCATCCACCTTTTCGTTTGCAAAGGAACGTCGCTTATTTCTTGTTGTTTTTTTCAGATTCTCATGATGGGTTGGTGGCCCTTAGTGGGACCATGCCGACGATGGAGCAAAGTTCCACGTACTACATACATGTTCGTCCACTCCATGCATGACCATGAACTTTCTGGGCTGTGCCCAGCGATCGTGTTCCTAGCTGCTATCATTTGTTCCATCTTCCATGCCATGTCTTGCCTGCTGGTGAAGAACAAACCCCTTCCGTACCAATTCGCATTGTGCGCCAGGACATTCTCGCAGAAGCACCTGACCAATTCCGCCGCGGTAACCTCTGTACAATCTGCCCAGCGCCTGCGCAACGCCGCTACACACGGGCACCGGCATGCCGACACCTGCTCTGGCTACCCTGCCGCGCAAAAAGGTGCTGCGCCGCTTTCCGTGTTTTTTCCGAACTGGTTTGCAGATCCTCAGAAGGTACATTGATGATCTTTTGCTTCTGTGGGCTGGTGACGTGCAAAGTCTGGTTGAAAAGGCGGAAGGTTGGCATCCTTCTTTGAAGTTTCAGGTTTCTGGTGAAATGGAAGTTCCCTTTTTGGACTTTCACCTGAGCACTCTGCCCAATCGCCTTGTGCATTGGAAGCTGTTTGAGAAACCCCAGAACCTGTATCTTTATGTGCCGGCTTTTTCGAATCACCCTGCCAGTACTTTTGCAAGCCTGCAGCTAGGAGGAGCGATTAGATGTGAAAGGCGGAACCGTCTTTTTTCTGACTATGCTGCAAGCATTCGGTCTTTCAGGCGTCGTTTGAAAGATAGGGGCTTTGACCTTGCTGGCTTTGATCGTTATTTTAGCTCGCTACAGAGCAAAGCGGATGAGAAGGCATGCTGCACCTGGTTTGGTACGGAAAGCCTTTTTGAAGCTGCCATACAACAAAGACATTTTCGCCAGTTGGGTTTCCCAAAAGCTCCGACAATTTGAGCCATTGCTGCGCCAAAGTGTCCCAGCATTCAACCTCACCACAAGCTGGAGAGTTGGGCGCAGCTTGTTCCAAAGTCGGTACAAGCAAGTTTGGAAATTTTTGGTCTAAGGGTTTGGCTGTGGGAGGGACCAAAAAATTGTTCATGTCCAGTTTGCACTTGCCTAGGTTATTGAATGCGCGATGCCTAGGCATGTGATTGATCACCGCAGCATTTGCGGCTGCAAAGCCCTGAAGAGTCCCAAGGGGGACGAAAGCTAGGCATTTAATACCTTGCTGCAGTCGTAGAAAAGCTGCGTTGGGCTTGAGAGACCTGTTCTAAAGTTGAGTTCTATACTCACATCACAACAAATAAACCCTGAAGAGTCTTGACCTAAGCCTTGCCTTACAATCCTCCGATTCTTCTTTGAATAGTTGAGTAGTTGAGTCTAGAACCCAAAACCTTCACAAATGAGTTGTATCATCTATCTTATTGCATCTGAAAGAGTAGAGGCACGCAAAAATGCCCAACTCTTATCTGCTGTTTAATTGTTGGCGTCCCCCAAAGGTCCTGAAACCTATGGTTAGATGTCCTATTTCCCTCGTACATGGAACATGGAACCCCCCACCAGCACCTGGGAGTTTCAGTCTTCACTGTTCGTCTTCAGTTGACTGGGTCCGTCAGCTGCTGTCCTCTGGTAGGTCCTCTACCTGCTCGCAAAGCACCAACTCACCTCAGTGGAAGTTCTTTGGGAGACAAAGGAATTGCCCGCCTGTTTCTACTGTCTATCTCTTTTGGTTGGTCCGCGAGTGTGCCCACTTGATTCTTCCACGGGGTCATACGAGTACATCTTCCAAGCTCCAACATGCGTACATGTTGTGACTGAATATGGATCGTCACGAATCGTGGCTGATTGTAGGCGGGTCTTTGTATGACGGGTGAGAGCGCAAAAGGAATTGACTTGGGAGTGGTACTGCAACCTTCATCTTCTCGACGCTTGGACCAGGCACAAATCACGCTGCCAATGACTTTGGCTGACAGGAGCTGCCGGAGAAACAAGTGTCCAATGAACTTCATGTTGCCGCGCATGCGGTCCTGCGATTTGTAGGCGAGAAGGTGAGAAAGTGCACCCCAGATCTGGGTCTATTTTAAGACCATGTCTTGACCCAAGCAAGTTTCCCTGCTCCCTGAGCACCTTGGAAAACTGCCAGACCGACCGCAGAAGATCTAAGGATACAAGCAGGTCCTTGCGCTTTTTGCGAAGGAAGTCGATCTCTTCCTGATCCAATTTCTCCTTCCTCAGAATTGCAATTAAATGAGAGGAGTTTGCAACTCCATTGTCTGCACTGCTGGCGAGGTGCTCTTCTTCGGTGAGGTCATTGGAGGAAAGGAGCTCTTCGAACTCGTTTTGGCCTAAAAGAACATCGGCTCTAGCTGTGGGCATGAATGCATGTCAGCGTAACTGCATTGGCGCTTCAAACCGCTAACAAAACAGGATGCAAACTACAAGATAGATCGGGACTGGTTCCTTAACATGAAAAACAGTGGATCACGCTTATTCTATATAATGTGTTATGATCTTCGGGAAAAAAAGAAAAAAACTCGTATAAACGAATAAAAAACTTGTTTTATGAGCAAAACCAAAACGACTGATGTATGTGCTTGTTCCATTTTGATGCAATTCTACCAGATTCGTGGAGACCATGAGTCGCATGTATCCGCTGAACAAAATGCCCTTCCTCGATCTTCGTAGACCAAAGCGACCACCGACCACCTTAAGCCTTGCCTTCCGAGTCAAGGCTGAGAAAACCAGCTGAAAACCAGGCCGTCCCAGAAAATCATTGCTGTTTGACCACTGAGAAGACCTAAGAGCAATGGCCTCCACCCTAGCAGCGATGGCCTTCAACCTGAGAGCAATGGCCTCCAACCTGGAGGGCTTAGGCCCTGGCAAATGTTCAAGACCAACCCCTTGAACGTGATGGGCTTGCCGCCGTCCGGGGATGGGAACGAAGGGTAGACGGCCTCACACTCTTGCTGACCGTCCCACTGCGACACGAACGACGGGAAATCCATCCACATTGCCAAACTGAGTAGTAACGACGTCTAAATTCTTTTGGCACCCTCCCATCTAAAAGCTCCATTAAAACTCCATTACTCCAACGTCGATACAAATTCCAGACTCAATTTGATTCGACATCCCTTCTCTCCCAACAAAAACACGATCAGTAAAACTTTGGCGGCCTTGAGGTTGAAGATCATGTCAGCATAGGTCTCGCAGTAGTGAGGCTCTGTCACAGCCTGAAGACCCACCATGGAAGCCGTCATCGTGCGGCACGTGGTGGCACACATCAAATGCCGTGCCTTCTTGAACATCAACTCAATGATAGCCTGCACAAATGGGGCAATCTCTGTAAGCGACGTGTCATCTCCATTTGGTCCAAACAGGACGAAAGCCTTGAAGCTCCTCATTTCTACATGTATAGAAGGATAAGGTGCAGGACCTTCCCGAACTATGCAGGACATTGCAGGACCTGTATTACCCAAGGTCTGGAAACCCACCGTCCTCACAAGCAGGTTCCCTATGATTCCCTGAGGTCATGTATCTTGAGCCTCTTGAACTGTCTAAATGTTCGAACCGCTGCCTCCAACTGCTTGATGTCCTCAACCTTGATGGCCGCAATCTTCTCGATGATGGAGTCAACATTCTCCGGGCAAATCTTGTTGAGCAGACCTGCCAGGTTCCCAAGAAACAAGTGTCTACCACATTTGTACATTTGTGAGCCCAAAATGTTGTGCCTTTAAAGGCACCTATCACCTGTCTGTTCCGCCTTGTACTTGGCGCTTGAGCTCGTCAATGGGCGAGCGCTTCATGCCGGGTCGCCAGCCATTGGCAGACACATTGAGCTTGGGCCTGGCATGGAGCTGGGAGCATCAACCTTGTAGGCAGAATTTCTTGAAAACCCGTCAAATAACTGCTAGACAAAGGATCCAAGCTGTTTACAAATTTTACAATGTTTACGCTTCTGGCAGTTACGTCAAGTCCTTGGAGGTTGAAAAGACCCCACTGGCAGTTGCAAAGTTTCGGCCGTTGAAAACCTCACGAATGCAAGCCCTTGACCCAGCCCTTCACCTCTCGGGTGGAGCAGTGGTCTGGCGCCTCAATCCGAAGCCAGCACCTCAGTCGGGCGTCATGGGTGGGCTTGTTTGGTGCCAGGACGCCCCAGCTCAACCTCATCGTTGCGATCGAGCGGCTCTTGGCTTGCACTGGCTCGGACTGCTGTCGGATGAAGCTGTCCTCCCTCTCGAGCTTGGGCTGGAACGAAATCTGTCGCTGCATCTCCTTCACAGTCATTCCACACAACTGCGGAATGACCTACACATGACTCATGACCATCAGAGCTTCACTCTCTCGTCTCCCTGCTCTTGCCTGCGGAATTGGAACCAACTCCACCACGTAGTCCGGGCGATCCTCCTGAGTAGCGTCCACAGCTAAGCTTGGGGTGTGAAATCAGGGCTGCAAAATCCAACTACACAAATTTCCAAGTGAAGATTCCTCGAGATCAACTATATACTCAAAGACAAATTGTTTCCACAACACTGGATAAGCCAATCCATGTACTGTAAGGCTGTCAACAAAAGTGTTTAGCCGGGCGTCAGCAAATACAAGATACCCAACCCTTGCAAGCCCATGATACCAGGACCCAGGATCCCCCTCGGCGCACCCAGACAGGCTCCTTTGGAATCATGTTTCTGAAACTCAGAAGGTGTTTCCGCATCTGGCGCAGGCGATGCTGACACGGTCAGATTGATGATATTGATGGTACGTGGTGAGGCTGGTTCGTCTCATGAAATACAGGTGATACGGCGATGCGGAAACTTTGACGTGTCAACTTCATAATGCACTCCGCAAATCAAACTGGTTCCCCACAACCAAACGCAAGCATCTTCAGCAAGCCTTGGAAAAGAAGGACCCGGTGTACCAATGGAGCACACCCCCGAACTCGCTGCCCCAAGGAAGGACCATGCAAAATATTTTGCAAGTACAATGCAAAGATTGTAAAAGTCTCTATTTTGGTAGGAAAAAAGCTAGTGAGTCTTCAGCCCCTCTCAAAGTGTTATTCCGAACCCGACCCGCCGCCTCCACAAAGCTGGTCTCGGGAACCTCGGATGTGCTCTTTTTTGCTGTTGGGTGGGTTGGCCAAGTTCGGCCAAAAAGGATTTGTTCTGTAAGAGCTCCTTTTATGAGACCCTTAAAGGAGCCTTATAAAGGCAAAAAAGGGCCCTTGCACTTACCTTCTCTTTTCCTTCTCTTGTGTGTTCAAATTTTGTGGAAAACTGAGAGGGAAGATGTGTCACATAGCAGGACACCTTTCACACCTTTTCACAAAGGTACTCAGACCCCTCTAGCTAACGAGATGGTATGTCCCTAGAATCCAACCGTTACCGATGCAGCGTCTTCAGCGCTGTGCTCATGGGCTCTCCAATTCCGACGGTCATAAAAGTAACTTCTGCAGTGTGGCATTGAACACGGAAACTGCTTTTTCCACTGTGCAGCTTGAGGTGGAACAACGTGTGTGATCTTCTTGAGTTGAGCTGCAAGATGCTCGACTGAAGGCACCGATGACATACCATCGGACTGCTCCTGATAGTTGAAACTGCAACAGCATCTTCCAAAGCCGACACTAAAGCTAGTAGTAACAGGTGCCCCCCAATTGTAACAGGTGCCTTACTAGTAGTAACAAGAAGCTAGTAGTAACAAGTGCCACGCTAGTAGTAACAGGATCTGATTCTGGAACTCCGAACGACCAAGTTTTGGGGCTGCAACTAAAGAAAGTTTTGAGAATGCTTTACCAACAGAAAGAACTTCGCAGCCTGCACAAGACCAGGTCACCATTGCAAATGCAATAGCCTCCTCATCCAAACTATTCTTGAACCTCATTAAAACCCCACAGACATTGGCACTCGAGAATCGCCTCTGGAATGGCTTCCGTGCTCACCTGGGATGAACGAAAGTGGAGATCGTTTCATCACCTTCAAAGGAGATTTACTTCTACAAATCTAGTTTTGGGGTCCCCGCCTACAACCTGAAAACAAGCAGGTGGAGTTTTCAAGCAGGGATGTTGTTTTGGGACTCATTGGGGGGGGGGGGCATCCACCGCAAAGTACCACCTCCAACATACAGCGCAATCTGATTAGCTGATTAACATGCTATCGCTCAGTCTATCAAAACGAGTGCATTCGTGGTGAAGGGCCCACCGGTGTCTGGGTCCACCATTAGGTGGCTCCTCATTGAAACCTAGACTTTGCATGGGTCATGGTATCCTCCAGAATGCGAACCAATTAAATGCAATGGCCAAGGAACCATGCTGTAAGCAGAGAGTTGCTTCTTGGGAACTTTCTCAGGCCTGCAAAGAAGTCAGCGACTTGAGGCATGCTCTACCTTGAAATAGGCTCCACCAGGATCTACACATCTCAGCCTTCAAACCAACTGATGTATATATAACCTTAACATGTTATATTACTATTATACTACTTCAGGCAGACAAAAGTTTACGCTTGTTCGCCTTCTTACAAAACACTCTGAGGTCAGCGGCGGATCGAATTAACAAGTCTAATTTTCGTGGCAGGTGTGGGACGGTCAATTATCACCCCCTTCTAAACTTATAATAATAAAAGGCTTTCCGGGGTGACAAATGACCGCCCACACC